CATTGAAAAGTGGAGGCCTAGCAGTGGATTGCCCTTCCCAGTTCCCAGGTGGTGCACTCATGTTGATCTTTTCCTAAGGTGTTAGCCTCTTCAAGGATAACCTGCTCTGATACCAATTGATGTTCTTAACGTCAATACCACACAAGAGGGGGGGTGATTTGTGTGGTACCCAATTTTCGCTCTAGAAGAACCTGGTTCTTCTAGGTGTACTAACTACTACTGTTTGCGAAATAATAAGTACATAAAATAAAGAACACAGAGATTTTTACGTGGAAAACACCTTGCTCAAGAGGTGAAAAAACCACGACCTACTACTCAGTAGGATTTTCCCAAACTTCCACTAAAATTACTCAGCCAAAACAGCATTTACAAAACTTTTGTAAACCTAAGGATTAACTCTAATCCCGTTGTAGCACACAGCCTCAACTGTTGCGACAACTTCAAGTTAGCATATAACTTGAACACTCTAAGTACCTAATACAATTGCTTCTATGAAAGCTGAAAGGTACAAGTTTAAATCACCTACTACAATTGAACTAGAAATAAAGAAAGACACAATGGAATTGGTTCTTCTGTCTCGTTCAAGTAGCTTTAGGAGTGCACAATCAAATCTCACATAAATTTCTTGCAAAATCACCTTGCTCTTTTGCTCTCAATTTAGTTTAACTTCTGCGTTTATGCAATACCTGTAAAAGAGAACAATCACTGTTATTTAATAGGTTAGTAATTAGAGCGTGATTGGGACTCAATTGCTGATCTTCCATTGAAGTTGAGTCCTTGAACATCACAAACTCCAACACTATCTTTTATCCGGGTTGTGTTCTCTTCACATAAGGAGACTCTCTCCCCTTATCCAATATGCAACCTTTTCGATCATATCAGGAGATATTACTGCTTAATCAATGGGACTTATCTCCTTAGTGCATCTCACATGTGTAGGTTGATCATGACTGTGCTTCACATGATGGACCTGGTCCATGACTGAGTTCATTTGTCATTCTTCAAAACTCCACCTGTTCCTGGGCCAACACTCTTCGACTTGCTGGTTTCGCCATAATGCCTTTACGGACGCAATCTCTTTGTTCCTCAATTTTCGGACCTGTCTATCAAGAATAGCAACCGGAATCTCTTCATATGACAATTCTTCACTAACCTCAATGGTCTCAACCGGCACAATATTAGACGGATCTCCCACCACCTTCTTCAACATGGACACATGAAATACCGGGTGCACTAATGACATTCAGGTGGCAGCTCAAGCTTGTACGCTACCTGACCTATCCTTTGAATGATTCTATATGGCCTGACATACCCTAGACTCAATTTCCCCTTCTTTCTAAACCGCATGATCCCCTTCATGGGAGATACCTTCAAGAACACCCAATCATCCTCCTTGAACTCCAAGTCTCTGCGACGAACATCTGAATAGGATTTCTGGTGACTCTGAGCGATTTTCAACTGCTCTTTTATAATTTTAACCTTCTCCATAGCTTGATGCACGAGGTTTGGTCCTATTAGCTCAGCTTCTCCAACCTCGAACCACCCAATCGACGACCTACATCTTCTACCATACAAGGCCTCAAACGGCGCCATCTGAATACTGGCATGGAAGCTGTTGTTATAAGCAAATTCTATAAGCGGCAAATGATCATCCCAGCTACCCTTGAAGTCAAGCACACAAGCATGCAACATGTCCTCAAGCGTCTGAATAGTCCGCTCTGCTTGCCCGTTAGTCTGCGGATGGAAAGCTGTGCTGAGATTTACCTGCGTACCCAACCCTTGCTGAAATTTCTTCCAGAAATTAGCTGTCAACTGGGCCCCTCGATCGGAAATGATGGAAACGGGAGTGCCATGAAGCCTGATTATTTCCTTGATATACAATTGAGCATATTGTTCAGCAATGTCGGTGGATTTAACTGGTAAGAAGTGTGCTACTTTTGTGAGTCGATCCACGATCACCCAAATTGAGTCAAACTTACATGGAGTGCGCGGTAACCCCACCACAAAATCCATATTGATCATTACCCATTTCCACATAGGAATTTCTATATTCTAAGCTAACCCACCGGGCCTTTGATGCTCGGCCTTCACTTGTTGACAGTTTGAACATTTTGCCACAAAGTCCGCTACGCCCCTCTTCATGTCATTCCACCAGTAAACTTCCTTGAGGTCATGATACATTTTCGTAGAACCTGGGTGCACGGAATATCTAGAAGTGTGAGCTTCTGCCATGATTCTTTCCCGAAGTCCATCCACGTTTGGAACACATAGTCGCCCCTGGTACCGTAATGTACCATCATCCACGGCAAGAGAAAAATTCATTGTCTTATGTTTATGAATCGCTTCCTTCAGCTGTATCAACATTGGATCGTTGTATTGCTTTTCCTTGACTTCCGCCACAAGCGATGATTCTGCCCTGTTCCGCACGATCACTCCCCTTTCGCTAAAGTCCGCAAGACGAACTCCCAAACTGGCCAACTAGTAAACCTCCCGGGCCAAAGGCCTTTGACGTTCCTCGAAGTGAGCCAAACTACCCATAGATTTCCAACTAAGAGCATCTGCCACCACATTAGCTTTCCCCGGAGTTGGTGCTCCTAGGATTTGGTCGACCTTGGAGTTGTAGGTTTTCACTTTTTTATCATTGGCTTCGATTTTCTTTTCTCCCGATTCTACCCATTTTGTTAGCTCCTCGAGCATCTTTATCATCTCGGGGTTAGAACCGGGTTCAGCTTTATTCGGCCTCTCTGTGACTGGTTTGTTTTTGCGAGTGGTTTCCCGGGACGGCTCGGGTTCAACTCTGCTGGGGGCGCGACTTTGGTTCTGCAGCTGGGCTATCACTGCCTGTTGAGCCTATAGCATTTCGAAGATCACCCGCAAGTTGATCCCATCTCCCTTACTGCCATGTGCATCCCAGACTACCGACCTGACTTCCCCGCGAATGCTTGCCTCCCGGGTTGGTGGGCAAGTTACCGTTGATGGCCACGTGGGAGCTGACGTCTATCGGGTCTGTGACCATGGCCCTGTTGGGGTCAATATGGTGAACCTCGTTGTTGGGCGCTATATTGTTGTTTTCGTCGTGATGGCCAAACTCAGCATCAACGTTCAGAGGGGCAGACTAGGAGTTTGACATTTTGATCTTTGACCTGAAATTAAAGGCACTTAAAAGAACAAGTGTAAAATAGGGTGTGTTATGGGAATTTGTATCGAATTGTCACTATTATCGTTATCCCCACAGTGGGCGCCAAACTGTTTACCCTAACAAACGGATAACAATTGAATTTGTAAGTGGTTTTAAGGACATGCAGATTAAATCGATACAAACGATAAAATGCGCTAGATTAAATAAGCAAAGATGTAGTAAATTCAAACCACATGAGAATGATGATTCTAGCCTTAATTAAATATCCACCCTCGATCCGGACTTACAATGACTAGCACTGATGAACAATAGAACAAAGAAAAATAATAGTATATTGCCTTGGTATGCATGTGTTACAATGTGTCCAATGAATAATCAGACTACCCTTTATATAGTAAGGGAGTTCTACCCTAAGTACAATTCTATAAATGGTAAGAAATCTTCTGTTTAACTAAGCACCAGTTCACTATCGATGTGTGCCGAGATCTGCGTCGTGATATGCAGTCGGGCGCGGGTATCACGACCTTCTGTTGGTCGTGCTTGATTGCCCGAAAACGCCCTCCAATGCCTTTTGGGATTTAGACTGATCCCGAATCATGGCCCCGATATTCTCGAGGGTGAATGTGACGCCCTCGGAGTCTAACTCGATGAGACCCTTGCCTCGATTCCGGTTCCTCGTCACCATGTCTCAAGCTCGATGTATCTTATTGGAAGTCGGGGTGTACCATAAGTTCAGTTTTACCCGTATACAAAGATGCTGATCGTGGTACTAAAAAAAGGTATTTAGAATTTACGTGAAGCAATGTCCTCCGCCTATTATGATAATAATCCAAAGTTTCCAAAATTATGCTTTTCTTTTTAGTTGATTTTTCTTACCTAGAAAAGACAAGAGTAGTGGATTTGCTTAAGGTAACAACATTAGCACGAAACTTTAAGTTATCTGGTGTTATTATTAGCAAAGCATAAATCATGTTACTTCCACTAATATACGTTAAGACGGTGTCGAAGCTAGCTAATGAGTTGGCTTAGAGTTAAGGTTCAAATTCCACTAAAATATTAGCATGCTTCCACTAATATACGTTTTGTTGGTTAGACGTTTTCTTTTTTCCCCCTTCACTAAGTATTTTTTGGACAATTCAGCCCATTATAATTTCCTTACATGAACATGAGGGTATATATACCTCTTTTTAATATATATTTAGCGATATAAATTGTCATATGGAAATTGTACCTCCAAACTTAGTTAAAAGTTATGTCCCAATTTTAAGCGGAGCAAGTGCAATGTTTTTATTTATTGTTTTTTGCTTTCTGTTGCTATTCTTTCTTTGTGGCAAATATAAAACAAAAATAGTACGTTCCTTTTAGGAAAGCAACAAGTTTGAAATTTGTAGTATGTATTTACATGGAGAGATCTATCGGAGTGGTAAGAAGATCAATTACAAACAGGCAAAATCTATCCACTCGGCTACGTGTTATCAACCTTAAAACTTAAACAAANGATGGTTTGTATAGATCGGGAATCCAGTCCAAGAAGCATGTCATGATTATTGAAGTCTGCATGCACTCCAGATAAGTCCTTCTTTCCTTTCCCCGAAGGGACACTTCTCGTTTGAATTCATTATCCTGTCCGTTGTTTACTTTTCTTTGAAATCCCTTTCGGTCCAAACTCTCTTCGAAACATACAAAAAAGATGGCAGATGTTTTACAGGTTTTTTGACAAAAAGATAATATTCAAGAAAGCACCCAGCCTCAGCAGGTGCATCAAGTCGACCTCGACTGGCCATGATGGTCGATGCTACCAGAGTCCAAAACACTTGAAGAGAAAAGAATCAAAGTCAAGTTCCCATAAAGGCAAAATAAGATGAAAAGGCCGAGCCCCACACGGGTCAATCATCATGTGGAATTTTGGAAAGTCAAGATCCATGGATTTGGACAATTCCCAGAGAGCCAGCGAGCAATGGAGATTTTATTGAAAGAGTTGGGCCAAGATCAAGTGATTAAAACAATTAAGGACACAAAACCAACCACTGTTTCAAACTGACAAATTATTCTTTGTTGGAAAAACAGGAAACAAGTGCAATCCAAAGCAATCTTGCAAGAAGCAGGTGCAACTAAGAAGAAACTGCGCAAGGGCTAGAAACAGCTCTGCAGCAATAATTAATCCAAAATGGAAGTCTCCTCCGAATTCTTGCATTTTATTCATTTTCTTAAATAAAAAAAGAAGAAAAAAAATAAAATAAAAAGAAAGAAGAAGAAAAATTCAAAATCATGGTAGCATAGGGTCTCCAATCTCTAGCTACGTCTTTTCCCAACATAGGGTCCCATTCCCTAGTCCCGACGGAGCTGGAACGTCATGGTGCTGACTTAAATGATCCTCTTTGGAGTGCCAAATGCCTTATTAGCTCTCCTCATCTTATAAGAAGGGTACGTACTTTCACCTCTTTAGATCTCTACCTCTTCAGATCTCCTCCATATATATATATATATATATATATATAGTCGACACCATGCAAGAAAAACAATCACTTGTTTATTTTTGTAAAAATTGTATGTCTATGATATGATGATTCTTTTGTTCTAGTTTATGAGAACTTTTGATTTGTAAGTAACAAGATGTTACTTATTTTAATTTATATGGCATAGTTTAACTGATAACGAAACTCAAAAAGGAAAGCATACTTTCGGATCGTGTGATTTTAAGCATGTTGAGATTTATTAAAAAAATTACTATTAAGATAAATTGAAATGTTTATTGGACTACAGTCTTATATTACTTGTTTGCGTTGTTGATAATTGGTTATGGTACCGTAGGTTACCGGAAGGTTTCATTTTCTGCTATGCTATTTTTTAATCTTTAATGATTTTGTTAATGACCCTTTTAATTAGTATGTAATAATAGAATAAATATTAGTACCGTGTAAATGTTAATTTTTTCATATCATCTAGACACGTACATGCTTGTTCTTAAATAGTTACTTATTAGTATTTTCTTTCTCCTCTTCTTCCTAATTTTGTTATGATCTGTTTTATAGCCTCATTTTGACAACTTTAGCTAGTGATTTGAGCATATATTAGGCTGGATATAGTATTTGCCTAAAATATTAAGTTTCGCCCAGTTTTATTTTCGGAGTAACTAGTCACAAGTGATCAATGATTTTAAGCTGATAAATGTTAATCTAAAGTTTTTTTTTTCGGTAAAAAGATTGTAAATTGAATGACCAGCTAAAAAATTAACCTATAAATTCGAGATGCACCTGTTATTCATCGACTCTAGATTTCATTTACGTATTTATTTATTCGGTTATGTGGAGCGTACATGTGAGCTGTTTCTCTGTTTACTGTTTTTTTAAGTTTATATATGTAGAACATGCGAGCTGTTCTATGTGGAGAATTGATTAGTGTCTTATGACGTTCGATTGCATCAGACGTTGGAATTTTTTTTTGTCATCTTCTTGATAGCAACGTGGTGGTTCTTATCTTCGACACCTCACAGTTATTTTATAGAGATGATGCTGACACATAGTTTGCATACAAAATATGTCACCATAATTAAGAACTAAATCTAGCAACATAAAAGAATTGGTTCATCAACTATTTTCCCCTTTTGGTACTCTTTTTTGCTGTTAAATATATCAACTGAACATGAAAAAATTAATAAAAGCAGAGTAGAATATTAAATAGTCATGTGGGCCAGTCCAATGCAAGAATCTTACATTTGCTTGTTACGAGGGCCATATTTGCAAATTTGTATAAACTGAGGGGGAAATGCCAATTTATTTTCCTAAAAATTGGTCTTATTCTCACTAAAATGATCTAAACGTGTTTTAAGGTCCATTTCAGACCAAGCACTCCCAGCTGGTCATAGAAAGTACTGTGGTGAAATTACGGAAATTTTGACGTGTTATCCAAATAGCAAAGTTACCATTAAGCCTTGGACATTAATGAATTTAAGTTATATATCTGAAATTTTAAAGAATTTTTACACACACTGTACAATTTAATCAATTAGTCCAGGTTATTACACCTATTTCTTTTTTTTTTTTTATATATTTTTTTACGTTACCATATTAGACGTGCTATGGATGATACCTGTTGTTGTAGGATAACTTAAAAAATATATAACTGGCAGCGCACAAAACTTAATTTGTCAACATTGGCTTAAATGGAAAAAAATCTATGCTCATTGTCCTGTTTTGTGTAACAGGTGCACCTAGATTACCTGGAAGCTGGTGCAAACATTATAATTTCTGCATCTTATCAGGTTGTAATCCCATCTTATGCTTTTTCTTTTATTTCTCTATACGGCGTTAGTTGTTTGATCACTTGCATTAACAAAAATAAATCTAAAGTACATTTTGCATGAGACAGGCTACACTTCAGGGATTTGAAGCAAAGGGCATATCAAAGGAAGAAGGTGAAGCATTACTTAAGAGAAGCGTGGAGATAGCATGTGAAGCGCGAAACATATATAACGACAGAGCTGCAAAAGGTTCTTGGGATGATTTTGATAATGGAAGTAATTTGAATCGTAAACCTATCTTGGTTGTAGCATCTGTGGGAAGCTATGGCGCTTATTTGGCTGATGGTTCTGAATATAGGTAAGTTAATGTTTAACGTCTTAAAAGAACGATCGAGGTATATTTCTATTACTAGTAGTAGAAACTGATTACTCGTCTTTCATTTGTAGTGGAATTTATGGTGATGCAATCATGGTGAAAACTCTTAAAGATTTTCATCGAAGGAGAATTCAGGTTCTTGCCAATTCAGGTGCTGATTTGATTGCATTCGAAACAACTCCGAACAAAATGGAAGCTCAGGTATTCAACTTCTTGATCTTTTATGATATCCAATATAGTCTATTTATTTTCCTTAACTCGATCTTATATCTGGACAGTAGTGGTGATTGTGTGATATAACTCCATTTTCATTGCATATAGGCTTATGCTGAGCTTCTTGAGGAAGAGGACATAAATATTCCTGCCTGGTTTTCCTTCAGTTCTAAAGATGGTACCAATGTAGTCAGTGGGGATTCCATGGTAGAATGTGCTTCGATCGCTGATTCGTGTAAGCAAGTTGTTGGAATTGGAATCAATTGTACCCCTCCTAGATATATTCAAGGGCTGATCCAATCGATCCGAAAGGTATATGACTTCTTTGGTTACTTCCATATGAATTTGATATTTAAGAAAAAATGTGATAAATTAACTTTAAACTCTTGAGACTTTAATGCTTCAATGGAAAACGATATATGTATGCAGGTAACAAGTAAACCAGTACTTGTATATCCTAACAGTGGTGAAACTTATGATAGTGAAAGGAAGGAATGGGTGGTAAGTTTCTATTATTGCTGCCCAAATTTTAGCATATATCAACATGTATAGATAGGCTGCAATCCTATTATGCTGTCTCGAAACTTATGATGAACGACTATCATTTATTGTTGTAGGCTACAACGGGTGTTGCAGAGGAAGATTTCGTGTCATACGTAGACAAGTGGTGTGATGCTGGAGCTTCTCTCGTCGGAGGTTGTTGCAGGACAACCCCAAATACCATTAGGGCTATTTCCAAGCTTCTTTCCAGCAGGGCTCACAAGGGCTAATACGTTGGACTGATGGATCACTCAAAGGCAAAGGCTATAATAATGTGTTGCTCCGAGTTTTGTGTATTTGAATAAAAACAGAACAATAATACATTATATAGTGTCTACCTTTGTGTTAGTGGTAAATAAATCACAGTCTAGCTCTGTGGCCGATAAAGCCAATCAGTCTAATGCTTTAATTAAATATAGTTAGGAATCAATTGTATGAATATTCTCTTTTATATATCCATGCTGCAGATTGTAATTTGATAGTCTCTGTTTGACCAAAAAGTGTAAATTTTCCGTTAAACTAATTAATTTTTGTGTAATAAGGGGTTTAACCTAGTCAATGATAATATTTCTAGATTGGCTGAATAGCCTAAATGACACCTATACTTGTCCCACTTTGTCATGCCGGTCCCTATACTCCACAAAGTTTTATCCAGACACTTATAGTGATTAAAACACACTATTTTAAACCCCTTTGACCGTTGACCTAGCTTATGTGGCGTAAATAATGCTCAGGTGGCTAAAATGATTGGTACACACGCGCAAAAAGAGCGTGAATACAATAATTCAGCAAAAAATGACTAAAATTAGAAAAGAAAAAAAAAAGAAAAACAGAAAAAAGAAGACTAGCGAAGAACCCATGTTCTCTTCCTCTTGCTGCCATTGTCATAACTTCTTCTTTTCATCAGAATCAAAGATAGAAAATCATCATTATTTTCTTAGGCAAAATTGTTAGAATAAAGATAAGTTATCAACAGGAACTTCGTCCAAAAAAAATCAAGCAGACTAGGAATATCACTGGAGCATGTCAAAAATTCATCACTGGTTATAGATGAAACCTTCGAACCATCAATGGCGAGGAACACACCGGAAAAATTCGAACCATCACCGGCGCAGAGACCACCGATGACCACCATAATTTTTTCTTATGTATCACCCCTCCATAATAGAATACAAAACAACCCTAGTAGTTCAATCAAATCGGACGAGAAATACTAAAAGAGGTGACCGAATCTGATCTATAATGGCGTGTGAGCACCCAAATCTTGCTTGATTTGTGAAAATTATTGGATTTTATAGTGACTGCAGTTTCACTTGTTCCTCTTCCATTTTTAATCTCTCGAAAAATTATAGCGAATATTCACAAACCCCTCTTTTTTATTCTTTGTTTCTAATGAGATAGAAATAGCATGATTCCAGCGTTTTATTTCGGATAGGGTGGCTGTGATTTGTAAGAATTTAGGAAGTGTTAATTCTATTATCTATTTGATTTTTTTCTCTTTTTTTTCTTTGTTTTTGTTTTCATTTGATAATGAGCATTTTGAAGAATGATTGCTGGGTGTATTTGGGGTAGAGCTAGAGAATTTTTGGGGTTGCGAAGGTGAATTAATGGAGGGGAGGACTGTTTGGGGTGGTGAGGGTGGCGGCATACAGGTGGGAATAACAGGAGATAGAGAGTAGAGGGGAGGAGTGGAGTGAAGTGAAAATAAAATAAAAAATAAAGTAGAAAATTCTGAAATGAATTGAAAAAATAATGATGTGGCATAAAAAATTTGAGGTGGACATGGATGTGTCATTCACATTGGATCATTGAAGAGCACGCGAGGTCGGAAGAGTTTAAAAGAGTTGTTTTGAACGAGTAGAGGTGTCTGGATGAAACTTTGTGGAGTATAGGGACCGGCATGACAAAGTGGGACAAGTATAGGTGCCATTTAGGCTATTCTGCCTTCTAGATTTAGAACTAGTTAATACAAATAACGTGAGATAGTGTTGGTGGGGAATTAAATACAATGTGCATTTAATATTCCAAGACACTTGAGTAATGATAAAAGAATATCAAGCAATAAATAACTGTAAATGACATTAATGTAAATAAAGAGAATGATTCACCCAATACTGATTGAGGTGGATGATTCTTCTTTCTGGCAATGATGAGTTACAGACAAATCCTAAAATATTGGAACTATTCTCGGATCTGATGGAAGCGTATGAAATAATGGATGGAAAATTCTTGGTAAAAAGGTAGTGTTTGTATCTTTTCTAGAGAGAGAGTCTTCTTCTCAAAAAGTGTTCTTATCAAATGAATATTACATGCCCTCTCCCCTTATCTCTTTTTCTATTTATATGGGACATATCCAGGCAACCCTAAAAGTACAAGTACAGAGAATATTCAATGGTATATTCTCTTAAATATCTTATTACAAAAACTAGTCGTTAGTGCTATGTTCTTGATACTTGACCTCGACCGTTATTGTCTGCCCGGCTACGAGCCCCACTGTTTACTAGTCGGCCTCGGCCACATCATTTTCCATAACACCTTTTCATGCTAAATTCCCTTGGTGGCAGATTTTGACCCATACAGTTAGTCCTTCTGCTTATTGAGGTCGACCCTGGACGACCTTGATGAGTGGACTCTGTTAGTTATGGTGAAGAGTTTTAGGCGAGCAGGCCGAGTAGTAGCGTTTTAGACGAGGTGGCAACGTGATCTTTTGTGAGCCGCAACCTAGGGTCACATCGATTCAAAGTGACGTCATGTCATCATGTGTCATTATTACGTGTTTTCCCGATACCTTGCATCGTTTCCCGTGCCTCTACTGCTTCGATTCCTGAGCTGGGTAACGACGGTTGGCTTTGTCAATATTGATGCCTGAATTCTTTTAAATAGGGATGCAAAATCCTTTGCCTTATTCTTTACAATCTAAATATTGGACTCTCATACCTCCTTGTTCTTTCTTTATTCAGAATCCTTGCCCTCTTGATATTGCTTCTGTGTTTTTCCTCTCACTGATTCTGGTGGCTTCTGCTACTTTTGACTCTTCTGTGTTTACATATCCTTTATTCATAAACAAAGATGGTTAATGTGTCATCTAGTTCGGGGGGGGGGGGTACCTGACCATGTTCCCTTGGCAGTGCGCATGCCTCCTCATGACGATGGGGTTGCCATTGTTGTTTAGTATGATTGCTTTCCTATGGTGGAGGAAATAATCCCTCGTAGTGAGAAGGATAGATCTGACTTTTCAAAGATGTCTGAGGATGACCCTGAGATCTCGGAGTGGTTGATGAAAGAGGTGAGCCTTGCCGAATTTATGGATAAAGTCAAAATTCCCGCCCATATAGACCAAGTTCCAGTTGGGCGTAACATGGTGCAAATAAACCACCCTGGGTACTGCGCTTTCTACGCGTACCCCTTCCATGTCGGTTATTCTTTTCATATCCTCCCCTTGCCCGGGGACTTCTGCTACTATTACCGCGTCTGCCCAGCCCGACTTTCTCCATATATCTACAAACACATTCGAATGATCTCGAAGTATGCAGAGTTAGCCGGGGTCGAGGTGACCATTCGACACTTGATGCACCTCTTCGTCCCTAACTTTCACAGGGGGACGATGATACATCTACGCCACCGGAGCAACAAATGTCTAGTGGTGAAAATGGACGACAAGGCAAACCGTCAGTTTTGGCTCAATTACTTCTACGTCAAAACTGAGGACATGGTGGTCAATGCAAGCGGGTTCCCCGAGATTTGGAACTACGCTCGTAAGCATCTCTCCCTTTTTTTCTCTTTCTGTATTATGCGTTGGTTCCGCTAATTTAAATTGTATTGACATTTTGTCTTCTCTCCGTGTAGCCGAGGCCGCACCCCTTTCTTTGGTCGAGGATATTCACGATTGGGTTAGCCGGGTTCTCCCTCATACAGTAGGGATTCGCGAACGGCCGGCCTTCCTCAAGAAGTTTGGGCCTGCGCCTTTTGTGACCGGTGAGTTTACCCGTTTTAAATCTTTATTGTCGTGGCCTTCTGGTTGCTTGTTCCTTATTGGTTTTTGGGTATCAAACTCTTAATCTTCTCTCTTTTATTTTTAGCCCGGGGATCCTCGAGGAGGCCGAGGGCCCCTTCTCCTGCGTTTTGACTGAGCAACACTACAGCGGGGTCCGCCCCTGCTGTGACTGTGGCCAGGCCTGCCCGTTCCTCCACTTTCATTCAGCCTCCTGTTTTGGCTAGATCGGCCCGATCATCGACGTCCTGGTACCAGAGATTCTGGCCTCTCCCTTACTTCATTTAATAGATGAGGAGTCATCACTGAGCGAGGAGGATTTGGTCCCTCGTAAAGGGAGGTCGGTGGACGTTGGCGATGGGAAAATCCAAGCCGTAGATTCTACCAGGAATGATCACGAGCCGTCGTGTCTAATGATGGTACAAATCTTCAGTCTGAAGAGCGAATAGGGGAGCTAGAAAAAGTGGTTTCGAGCCTTGGTGATGAAGTCGTCGTTCTCGAGGTTGAGAAGGCAAAATTATTAGCTCAGCCGTCCTCTTCTCACACTTCTGCTTTCCCTGATATTCCACGGGATTTTTATTAGAAGTGGATCCACGCCGAGGCCCAACTCGACATATTTAGAGATTTGATGATGACGGGGAAGGTTCCTGAGGCCGACTTCGAGGATGCTCTCGCTAAGGCGCGTATAGCTCGGATCGCTTATGGTTATGACCCCACTATTCCAGAGGCCGGTGATGGTGAGAAGGATGTGAATGGGATTGAACAGGACGCCTGGTACGAGGATGAGTATCCAGACGGAGGCGGCGATGGTGAAGAGACGGGTGGTGATGGCTCTATCGGGTTAGGCAGCAAATAGTTATTTTTCCTTCTTTATGCTTGTAAATGTTGTACATAAATTTGTGGGCATTTGTTCTAGCCTTTGTAAAGCATATATTGTAAGTATGAAATGCCATTTTCGCTATTTGTATCTGATTCTTTTCCTTCTGTTCGGCTTGTATGCCTCTATTTTTTGTCGTTTGGCCGCTTTAGTCGTAAAAGCTTGGTTTATGCATGTTGAACGAGGTCGGGACAGAATTTAGTTTTGGTCATGGACGGGGGCCAATAGGTGCTAATTCGAACGAGGTTGAATGTAACCCGTACTAAGTCAGTTCGAAACGAGGCCGAACGTAAGTTAGTTAATTCGAACGGGGTCGAATGTGAGTTAATTCGAGCGAGGTCAAATGTCACTTAGTTAATTCGAGTGAGGTCAAATGTGAGTTAATTCGAGCGAGGTTGAATGTGATTTAGTTCGAACGAGGTCGAATGTCACTTAGTTAATTCGAGCGAGGTCGAATGTGAGTTAATTCAAGCGAGATTGAATGTGAGTTATTTCGAACGAGGTCGAATGTCACTTAGTTAATTCGAGCGAGGTCGAATGTGAGTTAATTCGAGCGAGGTCGAATGTGAGTTAATTTGAGCGTGGTCGAATGTGAGTTAATTCGAGCGAGGTCGAATGTGAGTTAGCTCAAACAAGGTCGAATGTCACTTAGTTAATTCAAGCGAGGTCG